GACTAGAGTCACTGGACTTTCAATAAGCACAAAATATTACACATTGACTACAAAGAACAATAAAATGAATACAAATGAGCTCAAAATAGTTTTTGTTCCTTGAAGAGGTACCATGGTCTAAGATTTCTTTCTATGTAAATGTCTAAAAAATTTCACCCTGGCCGGTGTGGCTCAATTGGTTGAAGGATTGTCCCATACACCAAAAGGTGGTGGGTTCAATTCCTGGTCAGGGCACATACCCAAGTTGCAGGTTTGATCCCTGGTCTTGGAGGGGACGGAAGGCAACCAACCGATGTTTCTCTCGTACATCGATGTTCTCTCTCTCTCTTTCTCCCCCTCTTCCTCTCTCTAAAATCAATAAAATTAGAAAATAATAAAAATTAAAAATAAAAGACTACCACTTCTATAGTTATTTAAATAGTTAAGCATTCATAAATGAAATTTTATAATTTGAAATAAGAATTACATTAACATGACATACTTTTGGTAAAATGCTTCATAAAATTTGGGGAAATTTTTTGTACCTATACTCCCATATGCAGCACTATCTGTTTATACCTAAAGTAAAATGATCCTGAGAAACATTCTTGAAATACATGTTTTCTTTTTCCTGTGGGAGCACTCAGAGATTAGTAGAAGTTTTAAAAAGATACTTAATAATTTAATGAGATGTTTTTTAAAAATGGCTACTACCATTCTTTGGCCTATACAGAGGTCATGCTTAATCTTACTCATAAAACAAAGATTATACCAGCTGAGTACAATCATTCTCTGTACAACCACAGAAAGTATCTAATATTATCAGTTGAGCTAGGACAGATTACTTACAGAAGACAAACCCGATTTTAAGAAACAAATAAAAATCACTAAAGAGACTTAGCAATGTATTATGAAGTACACATTCATTCAACATATCACTGGGTACCTACCTAGTAGAAAGCACCATGTTAGTTAGATACAGTAGGAGAAAGAAGTAAAACATTGCTTCCATCACTGCTTACAAACTTAAGACCATTGTGCCATAAAGTTTAAAAAGCAACATGAGAGATTATAAGGAAACATATGCTTAAATATTAAATTTGTAATGTGAACAATAAGAAAGATCTGAGGAGAGATTATATCCAACTCTTTTGAAGGTACTTCCAGCCCATGTACCTGGTTTAGTTTTTACTACAGGAAATCAATCAGATTGTTTAAATTATTGTAATTTGTTTTTTAATGTAGAAGCACTGGAGTTGCAGAGTCTTCAGCTAGAAAAGGCAGAAAGGAATAACTGGGTAGGAAATTTGACTAAGTGACCTAAGGTCACTTCCTTGGGTCTACAGTTCTTTCTTGATTTGAGAACATAAAAAATCTGAAATATGTGGTAGTATAGTATGTGAAAACTGGCATTCATAAAATACTGAAGTGTTGTCTAAGACAATGGTTTTCAAACTCTACTGAACATCTAACAACATCTAATGACTGAGTATCTTGTTAAACCATATAGATGCTTATGTAGTATCTCAAACCTTTCGAATCAGAATCCATAAATGTGCAGTCAGGGCATTTGTATTCTGAGCAGCTCCCCCAGGTGATTCTGATGTGCAGTGTGAGAATTAAGTGTTATATGATTAAGTACACAACCTTCAGTGGCAAGAAAGCCTGAGTTCAAATGCCAGTTCTTTTTTTAAAAAATATATTTGTATTGATTCCAGAGAAGAAGGGAGAGGGAGAGATAGAAACATCAATGATGAGAGAGAATCACTGACTGGCTGCCTCCTGCATGCCCCCTACTGGGGATTGAGCCTGCAACCCGAGCATGTGCCCTTGACCGGAGTGGAACCTGGGACCCTTCAGTAGACAGGCTGATGCTCTATCCACAGCCAAACCAGCTAGGGCCAAATCCCAGTTCTAATACTTAATACACTGTGACCACCAACTAACCTTCCTAACACTATTTCTAACCTTCTTTTTTTAAAAAAGGGGGGAAATATCACCCATTCTTCAAGTGATTTCTCTAGGGTTAAAGATGATGAGGCATGTAAAATGTTTAGTATAATTCCTGGAATATTTAGGAAGCATTCAATGAATTCATTCATTTAACAAACATTTATTAAGCACTTACACAGTATCAGAAGATGAGGAACATCTCATTAAATTATTAAGTATTAATAAATATGGCAACTCTGTAATGGTGTTATGAGAACACATAATTAGAAGAATCTATCCTAATCAGGAAAGTCTTCCTGAAGTGAGCTGCATGATGAGTAGGCATTAACTGGATGAAAAGGAAAGGAAATGCATTTCGAAGCAGAGGAAGCTTCGTCACCAAAAGCCATGTACCTGAAGCAGAACAGAGTGACTAGGGAAGAAAGGAATGCCAGAACGCACTGTGGAGATGAGGTTGGAAAGTCAATCAGGGGACCGAAACAAGCAGTTAAGAACTTTAGTTCCTTTTATAAACAATGAAGTCACTGAAGGAGACATATTGGAGACAATATGATAAGATTTGTATTTTTAAAATGTCACTCAGTCTGGGGTAGAAACCTAGAAGGAGGCACAGTAAATGCAGCTAGACCATAATTAGGTGGCTAGTGATACTTCAGATGAGAGATGATCGTGGCTGGAACTAGTGGCGAAGACGAAGACAGACGAGATATTCAAGAAGCACAATCAACAGGACTTAATGAGAGATTGATAATGAGGCACAAGAAAGAGGAAGCTGTCACACTTCTCCTATAGAACAGAAAACTAGAGGCCTGTTGCAGGACATTCATGCACTGGGGGCAGCCCAGCCGGCCTGCACCTTTCACAGTCTGGGAGCCCTCGGGAGAGCCGGGAGCGGGCCTAAGCCATCAGTCGGACATCCTTAGCAGCTGCCACGGAGGCCTGCCGCTGTGCTTGCCAGCCATCAGCCCATCGGCCCAGCTTGTGGCTGAGCGTGCTCGTTGAGCATCTGCCCCCTGGTGGTCAGTGTGCATCATAGCGACCAGTCATTCTTCAGATGGGTCAATTTGCATATTACCCTTTTATTATATAGGATGATAGATGATGAAGCCAGTCACTGGAGTTAACCACAATAAAAGGGCCTATTTTTTTTGGGGGGGGGGAGGGGAATCATGAGTTTCAAACATGTGAGCATGACTAGTTATTCATAATAATAGGGTATTTGCACAGAAATGTATGGAAGTACAATGTGCTTGTATTTGTTTTATTGGGTGTTGTGGATCTTAGAAGACAAAAAAAATAGGTTTCTGAGGCTTCTGCATGTGTGTAAAGTGGATCTGAAAGAATTAAAGGTCCTTACGTTTCTTAGGTTCCTTTCTTACATACTCCCCCAAAAGCGTCTTTTTTTAATCTATTTTATTGATTTTTTACAGAGAAGAAGGGAGAGGGATAGAGAGTTAAAAACATCGATCAGCTGCCTCCTGCACACTCCCTACTGGGGATGTGCCCGCAATCAAGGTACATGCCCTTGACCGGAATCGAACCTGGGACCCTTGAGTCCGCAGGCCTACACTCTATCCACTGAGCCAAACCAGTTAGGGCCAAAAGCGTCTTTTAAGAGTACAGTTTAATAGTGACAAGAATTTTACCTATACTCAGCTGATAAATCATTTTTAAATTTAAAAAAAAATTAATATTCATACTAAAGAATAAGACAGGAAGCCAAACAAAAGCACCTGCCAAGTTCGAAACGTAGCTTCAAGCACCTGACTTTCAAACCATTACCAGAGCAGGAGGGGATTTTACAGGGACAGGCTGTAAAACTATGTTAATTTTCCAGAATGGAGAGGCACCGTGAATCCAATTTGTAAAACAAATCATCACACAGACAATACCTGAATTTGATTTACAAAAAAAAAAATTAAAAAAAAATAGCTTGCAACTTACAAAAAAAAAACAGCTTGCAATTTACAACTGTAAGTCATTACCGCCTTTAAGTCGCTTGTCTGGAGACTCGTGAAAACTGTTACAGGAGCTGACTTGACAGCACTGGTCGCCGTAATTACTAACCATAGGTACGTATTCATTCGGATCGCACGAAGTTTTTGCAAGCTTTATCGGTCTCAACCGTCCTCCATCCTTTCTGTCCCGCTGAGAAAAACTCGAGTGGATGGGGATTTTCAGTCTGAACAAAACACCTGCCCCACCCACCTCAAGCACAATAACCTTCCGTTCCAGAACGAGAGCCACTGTCAGAAAAGGACGCCGGGCGCTGGGGCCCTGGGGGGTGACCCAGGTTATCGGAGGCGGACCCCAGGGCCGAGGGGAGCTGTCTCACCCAGTCCCAGAGGAGAGTCCAATTTCCCAAAAGGGAACCCAGAGTTCGCCGACGGAAACCCGAGCTCCCGAGCCGGAGCGGGGAGCTCTCCCGGCGGCAGACGGCTCCAGCCGCCGTCTCCCGGCGCTTCCAGGCCTCGTCCGGGGGCTCGGGCCTCTCGGACCCGCTCCCGGAGCTCGACTGCGCGCGGGCGCCCACCGCCCGGCCAGCCCGGCCCTCGGCCCGCAAGCCGTCACCTAGCAACAGTCGCCAGCACCGGGGGTCTGGGGAGGCCTAGCCCGGACGCGGGTCCTCCCCCATTTCCCTCTCGCGGTCCTTGGAAGAACAAGCGGAGCGCGGCCGGTGAGGGAGGTCACTCGGTGCCCGGGGGGCGGTCACTCACCTCTCCCCCTCTTCTCCCGGGAGGGGCGGTGCGGGACTCGTCTCCCCGGCCCTGACGAGCGCCTCCAGGTTGCTCCGGCTCGGCTTCGGCGGAAGCAGCCGGCTCACTCCATAGCCTCCTCCACCCGCGCGGCCTCACAGGCTGGAGCCGGAGGAGGGAAGGGGGAGGGGAGGGGAGGGACCGGGGAGAAAGTAAGGGAGAGGGAAGGAGACCCAGAGACCAGCCGGCCAGGGCATGACGTCACTTCCCGCTGGTTCGGAAGGGGCGGGGCGGGGGCTACCTTGGTCTCCGCCCCCGAGGATCAGGTGGGGGCGGGGCTTCGGGCCGGGGGCGGGGCCGGCGCGCGAGCGAATGGCGGTTCTTTTGACTACGCGGTTTCGCAGCCTTGGCAGCCGGAGCGAGCTTCCCGGCCCTGGGCGGAGCGGGTCGAGTTTCGTAAGCCGTACAAGTGGCTTCTGCCGGAAAAGGAGGACAGGTAACCTAACCGAATATTAGGATCTGGGGGCGGGCGGCTCAGTGGAGCGGTGGGTTTGGCCCTGGCACCTCAGGTTTCTGGGGTTCCCCCCTTCCTGGGCCCATCCCTTCCCTGTGCACCTGCCCTCTCTGGTCTGGACCAAGTAAGATCCGTGATGGGGCTTTCCGAACGACTCTCTTGGAAAGTCCAGGAAAGCAGTGATTTTCAAACTTTAATATGCACACGAGTCATTTGGGGATTTTGTTGAAACGCAGTCTGTGGATTCAGGAATAGCCTGGTAATCTGCATTTCTTGTAAATGCCCAGATGCCAATGCTGTTGGTCCACAGGCTACACTTAGAACTACAAGGGGTTGAAGTATGAGATGGCAAGTTTCTTGAGCACAAGTTCCTATTTCTTCTAGCCCACTTGTTTAATGAAGGTTAATGGCAGATTGTCCATTGGAAAATATCATTGTCTCCACCACTCATAGACTTTTAACCTTCTCCACCCCACTCCAGCCCTACCCCATCCATCACGCCCAGACAAACTTGGTGCAATCTAATTCAGGGAAAGGGAGCAGGCCCCACAGCCTGTTCCCAGACCTCAAGCTGCTTGGATTCAAAACTGCCACATTTTTCCTTAGAGATAACATGCTAAGATCCTGAGCCACTTGTTCTACAGTTGTGAGCATTATGTTAGTTTTCTGTTTCTGCCTTTCTTATCTTTATGTACATAGACCTTCTGAGCCTTTTATAACAGCTCTTCTGCACTTCTATCCCTCCAGTTCTCTAACTTTGCTGTTTTCTTGAGATCTCAGGCCAACTATTGATGACAAAATGTAATTTTTAATATTTCTTGGCCCAACAGGTCCTCGTTGTCTGGTCCAGAGTACTTTCTTATTTGATCTTTTAGTCTTGAAACATTCAGAAGGCCCTTCTTCTTTGCCTTGCTGAATATTGAAGGCTTTATTTAGGTTCTGAGACCAGGGAACTGATTCCCTAATACCATTAATTATTAGTTTCCTGAGAGATCTCTCATGTGTCTCCTATGGGTCTTGTTGTTAAGGTCCCACTGGGGCTCCCAGGTTTGGAAATTTTACATCTGCTGGAAGGACACCAGGGCCAGCCAGGTGCTCCCTTTCCCAGATAGCCATAGCCAACCTTCAAATCATTCCCCCTTCTTTTCCTGAGAATAGTATTCCCATGATAGACATTAACTCAGATCTGTGTATACACTTGTGGGCCCAAAGTTGGGTCTAGCTGGTCAGCTAAGTCAGGTGGGTTGTCCAGCAGAGGTTTTAACTTTTTTCCCACTGCTCCAACTCCTTTCGCAACCTGGAAAAGCTAGTTTGTGGAAGCACAGCGGCCTCAGAGCCAGTTGGATGAGAAGGAGGCTGGGATTGTAAATTGCCATCTTGGCTGTTCCCTCAGATTGTCCCCTGGTCACAAAGGGAGGGAACATTTCTCTGTCTGCCCTTGTTCTCTTTAGGCTTCTCTACTTTTACACAGAGAAGGATGACTGGTCCCTTCCTCCAACAGAGAGCACAGTCATTCTCCTCTTGAGTGACTGGACTTGTATTATTAGCATATTTATCAATTATTACTGAAAAGCTTTATCATAAATCCTTCCTTTTAGTTACATCTATTTATTATAACTTAGCAACTTTGAGATTTCTAAA